GATAGATACACTGTAATCGTTTGCACTAGTCTGTCCACATCATTGCTAGGAAATGTCTAGAAGGAACTGAGAGAGTAATGTGGTTCATGGATTTATTGCAGGGTAACAAATTATCCCAAATCTTAATCACTTAAAATAAAACTATTTTCTGAGCACTTAATTCTGTGGGACAAAAATTTGAAACAAGTTTACATAGGAAATGCTCATGCTGGTCTCAACTGAGATTACTCATAGGGTGTAGTAGTTGACTTTGTTGTTGTTGTTAAGTACCATCGAGTTGGTTCTGACATGGTGTACAGTTAGCATTGGTTAGTCTTTTGTAAGGTGCCCTGCTGGTGCTGTGGGATCAGCACTGGACTGATCCTACACACAAGATCAACCCATAAAATCAGCAGTTCAAATTTGCCAACTGCTCCATGGACGAAAGATGAGGCTTTTTGCTCCCATAAAGATAAACAGTCTCAGAAACGGTATCCAGGGTCACTATGAGACTATGAGTCCGAATCGGCTCAGTGACAGTGAGTTTGTTTTTGTTTTTTTTCTTCCACCTTTTTATTGTGAAGTGAGTGAAGGTTTATAGACAAGATCAGTTTTACATTCAACAAATTATACACTTTGTCATCTCAATGATTACTATCCCTCCCTGCAACAACAGTTATCCTACTTCCTCTCTGTGGCTCCCCATTTATATCTATTTTTCATTAATAAACAAAGCAAAAATATTTGATATACACTTACAAAACAAAAAATCTGTCTTCGTTTAAATGTCCAAAGGGCACGTTCCGCAAGCCTCACTCAGTCCTTGGGCCTAGAGCCCACAGCTGCTCTGTCTGCCACCATCTCTACTCTGATGGCTTTTTGAGGCAGGGATTGCACGCTCCTTTTTGGTGGTCGGCAGTGAGATTTTTATAGGCTTTCCTGGATTTCATCATATGGTGGCCAGGCTCTAAAAATAACGCCTCTGCATTGCTGTTGGTAATGTCTCACATCAGATCATAGAGCCAAAATAGCCACTGTGGCAAGTAACTACCGAAGATAAGAGATATGTGGTGGTGGTGGTGGTGGTGGTGATGGTGGTGGTGTGTCATTGTGTCAGTTCCTACTCATATGACCCTGTATAGGGTTTCTGTGGCTGGAAATTTATGGTAGCAGAATCCCTCATCGAGCAGCTTAATTTATAACCCACTACACTACCAGGGCTCTGTGATAATGGATACCATTGTTACGTTAAGTGCACTCAAGTCAGTTTTGACTTATTAGCAACCCTGTATAGGGCTTTTGAGGGGCATCTATTGGGTTTGAACCGCCAACTTTGTGGCTAGCAGTCCTAGTGCTTCTCCTACAGTACCACAGAGGCATAATTCGCTGGAGACCTTAACAGTAATAACCTGCCACAGGTGAGAATTCAAACCCAGAGTAAAGTAAGTTCAGCTTCACTTATCTTTCTTTACAGGGACATGAAGTGAAGTTCACAGTGTTCCAAAACACTCCTAACACAGAGAAATGGCGCCTCCAGCAACAAGGAAATGGGTTAACCCTAACTGCCAGCTCCTTTTTTCATTTCAGAAGAATAGAAGTTGAAATGTGAATGATTTTAGGTGTTTTGTGATCATCTGCTGCTTTTTTGCTTTGGGAAGGAGCTAGCTATGTTATTTGTTCTGGTGCCCAGGTAATTTTTCCATTGTCAGTGCCTGGCTGCTCCAGAAAATCTGTGTTTCCTAAATGGACTGAGAAATTCAAAGACTAACGGAGGTTAACTAGGGTACATGTCCCTCTCTCACAGTTAATAAAAATAGAGCTGAATTATGCAAGTATGTAGATAAGCTAATCATCTGACCTAATCAGCAATGCAGATTTTAAAAAGCCTTTCTAATTACTTCCTCAGCTTGGCTGAAGGTATGGGTAAAGAATTTCCCAGCATGATGGTAGCAGATGTATTTCATAATATTTATTGAAAATATTGGAAAGAAATCCTCAATTATGATCTTCCTTAAAAGTACATCAAGAAAGATACCATATTTAACATATTTTAAACTTTGATTAAGATATAAACATGACACATAGTTTAACTATGGTGAAACTCACATACCAATTATGTGGAGTAACTCATGTTGCTATACTTAAAGTTCAGAATCACATTGCTTATTGCTTAACTGCCTAAAACTTCCTTAAATAATATTATTTATTATTTAGGTTAGGTTCTCTTGAACAAAAAGAAACCACCAGAATATTTTCTTTCATTTGGCTGTTTACTGACTTAGCATCTTGGCAAAGGGATTTTATTGTACGAATATGTAGTAACTTTAAATGTGAAATTGTTGACAATTGCCGGCGCATGTAATGCCACACAATATGTGACTTGGAAGCCTGGATATATTAAATATTCATTTTCTTGGCTGAATTTGAGGAGTTATGAACGACTGTTAAGTGAACCGTTCTGTAACAGCCAAGTGCAAACAGAAACGGCTGCGAATTCCTAGCTGAAATTCCTGTGTCTTCCCTGAATCCTGTGCTCCTTGAGTGTTAATTGTTCATCTCTACCTTCTGTCTGTGAGCTGCTCAGTATCTTTCCAGACCATTCATTTTTTATATAAAGTAATTAATAATTCAGCTAATGTTGCCTGTAACCAAAATAAATCTTCAATGACATTGGCATAATTGAATGCAGGTAATGGTGGAACTGGTTTCTTCACTCTACAAAGACTTGCTCCAACCTACCTTTAGAGACTCTCTAGAGATCAGATGGAAGATAAAGAGAGTCTTTTTGTCCCACAGCTTGTGTACACAGAATGCATCAGAAACTTTGTAATGAATGTTTCTGCATGAAACCTGCCATCTGAGCAGTGAATGCTATGCCGGAGGTAGCCATGAGTGTTGAGTCTCATGAAAGTAAATCTTTTTATTTGACGGCAAAAAATAGGAACCAACCTTCCAATGTCTGGTTTCATGTCTTTGTTAGTTGACTTTGACCCTGGAACATTTATACAGCTGAAAGTCACAGATAATAACACTTTTGTACGCTAAACTCTCAAATCTCTGGATCATAGTTTCTCAACCTCTGTGCTATTGGCTTTTGGGGTCAGTTGCTTCTTTGTTGTAGGAGTCTGACCAGTGTATTATAAGATGTTCAGTGATTCTCTAGTCTTGACTTGTTAAGTACCATCCAGTTGGTTCTAACTCATAGCGACCTTGTGTAGGGTAAGCTTGAACCACTTACCTTGTGGTCCAAACCGACTTTGCAGTACAGTGCATTAACCCACAGTGCTACCTCAGTACTCTACTTAGTTGATACCAATAGCCGTGCCTGTTCCCCTCACAACTGTGACAGTTCAAATGTCTCCAAACCTATTTCTTGGGGTGGCAAGCCTGCCCTCAGTTGCTTTTTAGATTGAGTTAGTTTCTCTACAATTCAGCCAACATTTACCAAACACAGGCATTGTCCAAAGCACATGTTGATATGTGCTAGTTTGGTGTGTGTCAAACATACGAGCACATGCTAGTATATAACATATATAAGTAAAGAAAAACTTACAGAAATTCCTTCTTACTGAAGTTTAGTTAGAAATATGTTATATGTTGACACTCTGTATGTGCTAGTTTTTCCAGACATATTGGAACTATTAGGTAGCTAATAGTTATTGCCATTTTGCAAGTATAAAATGGTCAACAGTTGCCATTTGTATATGGCTCTACCTAATGCATGATGCTTAATAACAATAAAACAATTTGAGGGAAAATGTTCTCAATGTACCCGCATTTTATTGAACTCACAATTTTAAGTGCATTTTTGCTTTCCTGTGCAGGCAATGATGGGTCTAGAAATCTTACCCAGGCAGCTTTGAGGAGCAGCAATGTGGTTGGGGCTGGTGGGTTGAAGCCATGTATTTTAACAGTGCGTAGTTCATGCTGCACTTTTAATTGAGAAGGTGTGTTTATGCTGTGCTTGAAGTGAGGACTGATGTAGATTCTGGGAGTGGTTGCTAAAGCCACTCGTAGAAAGGAGGAGGAGAAAATGAAATCTAGCTCTCAAAATTATGTGCTGCTATATTAAATGTCTATGGTAATCCTCTCGTTCGAGAGGAGAGGAGGATGGCCCTGGTTAACAGGGCTCAGAATATTCAGCTGTTTCTCACTTTGGCAAATTCACAGAGGGAGGAGCCCCATATCTAGAAATGCCTTTTTTGAAAAATGAAATCAGATGGAGATCTGTTTCCAGCACACATCAGTACATACTTAACATATTCCTGCCCTGGTCATTTTTATAAATGTGCACAATTCTCCACTTACAGCAGTAATGAACTACATGACAGTGATTGACTGAAGTACGAAAAATACCTAAAAATTGACTCTAGTTACGTAGCCTTGTTCTATTTTAAAGAAGTAGCTGTGGTAGCTTGGTGGTTACGAATCGGTCTGCTAATCTTACGGTCAGCAGTTCGAAACTACCAGCTGTTCCACAGGAGAAAGATGTGGCTTTCTGCTCCCGTAAAGATTTACAGCCTCAGAAACCCTGTACAGGGTTGCTATGAGTCGGAATTGACTCCATGGCACATAACAACGACAAGAGCTATAAGCACATGACATTGCCTCTCCCTCATGCTATCTACCTTTCAGGCAAAGTACTAATGAGCAGTGAGTGATCTTGCCAGAACTCTGGCCCCAGGACCAAGGAGGAGAAGCTAGTGAATTGAACATTGATTCCTGAGCTTCTGACCGCTCAGGAGTGGGTAATATCGTGGATCTCACAGTTTCCATTCTATCATTGTGCCCTGAAACTCTTGAGAGCTAATGTGAATTTTGTGAATCAGATGAACAAGGGGGGAGTTAAAGAAAAACACTGAGTACGTAAAATGTTTAGCTTTCCCCAATTCCTGTGATTTCTATAAAATTCCTTTATGTGATATACAGAGAAGAGGTGTTCCATGCTTGATGTTGGTCCAGGACAAAGTTAACTTTCTGCACACTAATTTTAATTCATTATATATGCCTTTTTTTCCTAGCACAAATGGACCCTCGTGGCTTATCTCCCAGACAAAGTAAAAGTGACAGTGATGATGACGACCTGCCAAATGTGACCTTAGATAGCGTTAATGAAACTGGATCTACAGCCCTTTCCATAGCCAGAGCAGTACAAGAGTAAGTATCAAATTCCCAGGGTGAAATAAGAATTGCCAAGGTAATTCAGTGGCTAATGGAAAGTGCAGCCGCTCCTCTTCCCCAGACATGTCACCCTACCTCTGACCTGCTGTACATGTCAGCATCTTTCCATTCAGCCTTATGCTCTTTGGGACAAGAGTAGGGGAAAGAATGGATTCTTTTAAATGGCTGACAATTTGTGTTTGCTTAGAAGTAAGGCTTCTATACAGTTTTATTTTGTTTTCAATATCTCTTGTAGCCTTAACACTAGGAAAAAAAAATGTTTTGTTTTGTTTATTTATTTATTTTTGAGTGTCAATTTCCAAGGATCATCATGATTATTTATATATAACAGCCAAGAGAAAGAAAATATAATCATAATCTGTTTTGATAGAAAGTGAATGAAGAGCTTTTTTGAAAATTAAAATGTGTAAGATAATATATTAATACTCTGAAAAATAGGAAGCATTTGCAATTTTGAAAGTGATGTTTTCTCTCTCCTTGTATCTAGACTACAGGGTTGGAATTTAGTCCTTGTTTATTGCAAATAGCTGTTTTTCCATCATTGTCAAATCAACTCTGTGTATCTAGAATTGAACCAATGGTTAGGCCATGTATAGTATTTCTCAAAAATAATCTTTACAATATAGCCTTAAAGACAAGGAGGTTCTAAATAGCGATCATTTCTGCTGATAGGGAGTCCTGGTATGGTGCTTTAGGGTCAGCACTGGACCACAAGGCCAGCGCTTCAGCCCGAGAAGCCGCTCCTCAGAAACCCTATACAGGGTCACAGAGTCAGTGCTGACTCAACAAAACTTAACAACAACACTGCTGATATATATGTTAATTGTATTTGTTCAATTGTTGCTGTTGTTGTCAAGTGCCGTCAAGTCGATTCCGACCCATAGCGACCCTGTATAGGGTTTCCAGGGAGCAGGTGGTGAGCTTGAACTGCTGATCTTCCAGTTCAAACGGCTTTTGCAGTCTGATGCATTAGCCCACAGTGTCATAAGGTCTCCCATATATTAATTACCTCCCATATATTAATTTATTTTTCCTGTATATTGTTAAATACCTACCATGTATTAGGTCTTGAAGTGAAATCATAACATTCATTTGTGTAGCCATGTAGCCTTTCAGAATGTGCAGAGTATGTTTATTTATGTGTGTATAAAATGAGTAATACATGGGTTAGTAAAAAAACATATTGTCACTGGGACCCTGGTTCATGCATACATGGGTTTCTTAGATACAAAATATGTTTAAACATGTATGTCTCTGCAATCAGTGGAAGGTTGTATACGAGTATTCTCAGCTATATACTTATCTTAATCTCGTTGTTGTTGTTGCTATGTGCTATTGAGTTGGTTTCAACTCATAGTGACTCTGTATAAGGTTTATGAGGAGTGGCTGGTGGGTTTGAACCATTGACCTTTCAGTTAGCAAATCAGTGCTTATCCTGTAACACCTCACCAGGACACTTAGTCTCATTAACTTGCTTTTACAAAAAAAAAAAAAAGGTTCCATTAGAACAGTGACTTCCAAGGGGAGCTCTAGGCCAGTAAAATTCAAGACATAGAAGTCAGCTTAGAAGATTAGGATGACTACATTTTGGAATTCCAAAGGGATCATCTTAGTAGATTTTCTCAAAGGACATAGGATGATTGTGGGGACTTACAAAACTTGAAAAAATTTAAAACTGTAAGAAAAGGCCATCCAAGCTGTGGCAAGAATTGTTTTCAACACGACAATGCACCAATTCATTCTTCAAGGGTATGAGGCATATGCTGTGAAATTTTGTTGGAAAACTTTATTCTGTCCACTCTACAGCCCAATCTTGCCCTTCCACATTTCTTTTTTTATTCCCAAAACTCAAAGAACTTTGAAAAGGAGCATGATTTGAGTCCTTCAAGGGTGCCAGAACTGCTGTTTGATACGATTTAAATAGAAGAATGCAGAATTCTTCAGGGAAGGGTTGTTGTCGTTGTCGAGTCAGCTCCAACCCATAGCAATCCTGTATAGGGTTTCCAAGGAGCAGCTGGCAAGCTTGAACCACTGACCTTGTGGTTCAAATGACTTTGCAGTCTAGTGCATTAATCCATAGTGCCATGCCTGTGACGTACAGACATGTATAGACCTAATGGAGGCTATGTTTCAAAACAGTAGCTTCACATTTTAATATTTTTGCTTAATAAAGTTTTCTAAGATTTTGTAGCAACACTTTTTGACTTGCCGTCATATATGCTGTATTGTTAAGGGCTGTCAAGTCTGTTCCAACACATAATGACCAGGTGTAAGAGTCCTGGTGTGGCGCTATGAGTTAATGCGCCAGACTACAAAGCTGTTTGAACTGCAAGGTCGGTGGTTCAAGCTCACCAGCTGCTCCTCAGAAACTCTATACAATGTCGTTATGGGTCAGAATTGACTCTACGGCACTTAACAACAACAAGGTTTCAGAGGAGCAACTGGTTGGTTTGAGCCGCCAACTTTATGGTTATTTCTTGTTGCTAAGTGTCTTCAAGTCAGTTCCCACACATAGAAACCCTGTATAGGGTTTCCAAGGAGTGGCTGGTGAGCTTGAACTACTGACTTTGTGGTTCAAACTGACCTTGCAGTCTAACACATTAACTCACAGTGCCACTCCATATATGCTATGTTTTTTGTTGTTAAGTACCGTGGAGTCGGTTCCAACTCATAGCGACCCTGTACAGGATTTCCGAAGCTGTAAATCTTTACAGGAGTAGAAAGCCTCATCTTTCTTCTGCGTAACAGCTGGTAGTTTTGAACTGCTTACCTTGCAGTTGGCAGCCCAACTCATAACCACTATGCTAACAGAGCTCCTTATATATGCTATATAAATGAGATATATTTTATTTATTTATATTCTATATGTATTTGAATACACACAAACATCAGAGATGAAGAAACAAGATACAATGAGTCTAAAATAAAATTTGGAGTCAGAAAGATATGGATTTAGATTCACATCAAACTCTTAATAACTGCATGACTTCTTATAACTTATTTATCAACTATGAGATGTTTCTTTAACATAGGAATAAAATTAAAATACCTTACACAGCCTTTGGTATGGATTACATCTCTGTGTCAAGAAAACAAAAATCCTCACCACTGGACCAATAAACAGCATTCTTATCAATGGAGAAAAGATTGAAGTTGTCAAGGACTTTGTTCTTCTTAGATCAACTATCAACACTCATGGAAGCAGCAGTTAAGAGATCAGACGACGTATTGCATTAGGCAAATCTGCAAAGGAACTTTTTAAAGTGTTGGAGAGCAGAGATGTCAGCCTGACCCAAGCCATGGTATTTTCAATAACCTCATATGGATGCGAAAGCTGGACAGTGAATAAGGAAGATTGCAGAAGAATCGATGCCTTTGAATTATGGTGTTGGAGGAGAATACTAAAAGTGCCATAGGCTGCCAAAAGAACCAATAGATCTGTTTTGGAAGAAGTGCAACCAGAGTGCTCCTTAGAGGCCAAGATGGCCAAACTTCGTCTCTCATACTTTGGACATATTGTTAGGAGGGACCAGTCGCTGGAGAAGGATATCATGCTTGGTAAGATGGAGGGTCAGAGAAAAAGAGGAAGACCCTCAACGATATGGATTGGCCAGGTGGCAGCATCGATGGACTCAAGTGTGGCAGCAGTGGTGAGGTTGGCCCAGGATCGGACATTGTTTAGTTCTGCTGTGCATGGGGTCACTATGAGTTGGTTCCGACTTGATGGCACCTAACAACAACAACAACAACAACAACCTTACAAGACTACTCTGAGAATTTGATATAGCTACAAACTATAAAAAGCAAATAACTGAGTTAATGTGCATAGAAGACAATCGGTTGATGATTAAATTAATATTATCACTAGTAACCAGAGTAATAGTGTACAATTACAAGGGGGACTTGAAAAAGTTTGTGGAAGAGCCCCATTGTCTTTTAATTCAATTTTCCATGAAATTTTTGATGTCCCCTTGTTTAAGGATCTAACAACTAGGCAATACAAATGTGGCAAGTTTCATTATTCCAATTTAAAAAATGGACCTGCAGAATCAGAGAAGTTGAATAATTTTTCCAAAGTTACATAATAAATGGGAACAAACATAGTTTAGGATTTCTAAGTCCCTAAACATAAGCTCTAAGATAATTCTTAAGAGTATGTGTATTATCTGTTACGAATAATATCCTTGTATTTGCATATGTACTTAAAAAAAAACAAAACTTTTTAATCTTTCATTTGCGTAAGTAACTAGCTGTAGTACCTATAGCACCTTATTCTATCGAAAGCATATGTTAACTTGAGCCAGGATCAACAGTGAACCAAAAGGGGCTGCTGGCATTGTAGCTAAAATGGCAGCATGCTGAGTTTGCTCATCGCTGATTCAAGGTGACCAGCATGGGGATTGTGGTTTTGTGTGAGCCAATCTTAAATTCTAGAATTCCATTTTCTCATCTGCAGAACTAGGCTAAATGATGATAAGTTTCCACTCTGGCATTGGCATGAATATTAGGTTCCACTTAATATTATTATTTGAATCACATTATTTCTTGCATTATTATAATATGGATATCATTTTATGTGTGTATTTATAGACATATATGTGTTTCTTAAATTCAGCATGTAAAATGTGGGACTGTGATTAATAAAATCCAAATTATGCTTACTCTAGTTGGGGTTTATATAGAAAATGTATTACTTTCTTAAATATAACCTTTTTTTTTCCCTTTTAGGATTACCAAATTGTAATGTAATTATAATACCTTTTAATGTGAAGCTAGGGCATCTTTTTCAAAACTGTCTCTGATTTGCTTTCTGTACACATTTTCCAACTGCAATATTTTATCAAAGTCTGCATATGCCTGTCTTTATTACTATTGCATAATTTGTGCATGTATCTTGGTAAATGCCAGATTCGATATTTGTGTAAATGTTTTCATTAAACAATTAGTAAAGAATGCATTGCTCTGCCATTAAGGAA